CAAATTTAAAGCTAAAAAGTAAAAAAAAAACTGGAATTGTAATTAATACAAATTAAAATGTAGGTAAACAATAAACGCCAATGTTCCCAAATGATGAACTGATTTTAAAACAAAATTAATAAATGAACTGAAATTTAAAAAATCAATATAATAAATCGGTTTTATAAAAAAAATCCTTAAATAAATATACAGTAGGTATGATTACATATTATTATACACAAATTTTTATTCTTAAATAAAATATCTTGTCCACTTCTTCAAGAGCTAAAATCCGACGACGAAAATAGCGAAATTTTGCTAGTTTTGGCAACACTGAACGATATCCTACTTATAGGGACCTTCTACAAATTTCCTCCAGAGGGCGTATCACTTAGCTTGAATCGCGAATATGAGACATTTCCTTGCTGAATTAGCGACAGAAGGGGGTACAATAAATCTTTTAGGTCGCAGTGTATTAACACCCCATTCCCAAAATAACATAACATAGTGAGAACACTGCAAAAAAATGAAATCCATCAATTACAGTTCATATTTTTTATTTTTTAATCATTAAGATTACATATACGTTAAAATTAGATATTTTTGTTTAGAATCGATAAAAAATAGCATTTTTATTTGGGCCACATTTAAAAAAAAATAAATTTTAATCAAATTGTATGAAACTAAATTTAATTACGAGTATTAAAACTAAAAACCTAAAAATGACGGTGGAGCTGAGGACAGAGCATCTGCCTTCCACGCGAATAGCCTGGATTCGAATCTGGACTAAGGGCTAATTTTTTTTATGTTTATTTTATTTTATTAATTAATAAAATTCATAAATTATTTTAAAATTAGTTATTTTGTCTAAACCTAAACTATTTTTTTAAATTTGTAAATTTTCGTTAGTGGTTTGTAGAAAAAATATACTGTATAACTCGAGTGGATTGTCCATATCTACTCTTTTTGCACACTACTATTTCATGACTGCGAAAATGAGGAAAATTTTTGTGATGAAAATTTTTCACTTAATACAACTATATATTATATGATATTTTATCCATTTTCATAGATTTGCCAGAATTTTTTTACTTAACTTCAGTATACCTCTAGAACTGTTATATATTATATGACTTGGGCTAGGGCTTTAGCCCCCCCAGATCTGATGACATAACTTCGCCCATGTCCGCAGGGCAATAAGATTTTTAAATACTCGGGTTTCTGTTACATAATATTAAATTATCAAAATAGTATCAATTATTTTAATTTAAATGTACATTAGCAGACCAACTGAAAATCATGATTTTTTTGGTTATAAAATTAACACATACCTATTTTATTAAAATAAATTTATTACACTTTCTAGCTATTCCTCGCTTAATTTAAGTAATATAATGATGTGGAAAAAATGAACTAATATTACAAAAATTAACCCATAGTTCACCACGTGGAGATCCATCCTGCCATACCCAATCTTCCAATAAATGTAGAGCAGTGTTTGTGAATTAAATGGGTTTTTTGTTTCAAATTTGGGTGTTTGGGACTTTATCTTAGAACGAATATATCCATCTCTTCTAGACTCTCCACACACAGAAGATGAAGTGTCGGTTTCAAGCTTTATGTGTCGTTTAATTATTTGAGTGTGGCAAAGGAATTTTAAAATATCTGGTAAGTCACCTGTTCTAATAAAATCCATGAGCTCATCATCTGAATACTTGAATAATGCGGTAGGGTTAATGTCTTTAGTGTATTGCCAGTCAATAACATCAATGTAGTTGTTAACTTTAAAATTAATTTTAGGTATTTTGAAGATTCCGGGTTTATTATCATATTTATTTTCATACTCTGTACCTCTTAAAATTCGACGGAAGGCAAGTTCTCTTATATGAGGTCGTGAATCTTTAATCATGCCGAGAAGGACGTTTTCTGGATGGCGAAAATAAGAATTTCTTGGGATAGTAACATCGATTTCTTCTTTTATAGATTCATCTGAATATCTTGAAAAGTTTATTAAATGAAACAGATTTTTTGCACCATCGGTGTACAAATAATTGCTTTTAATTTTGAACCAAACGGGAACATACTTTTACGACATATGTGGCAAGTGATAACTTGCCATGAAGCCTTTTTGCAAATTTTTCTGAAACTTCTTCGGTAGCTACAGCTAGACTAATCTACAATAAATATTTTTGATCTGGGCTTAAAGTGGTTGGATCTAATGTTATATTTTTAGAGCTTATATTAGCATATATATTAGTTTGCAATAAAATACCAATAGTTCCTGTTGTTTTACCGTCTAATTTATTAATCAAATGTCGAAGAGGAAGTTATTTTCCATGGAATTGGTAAATGAACCCCGTTTTAGGTTTAACTCGATCATCTTAGTACCTCTTCCTTCGTGTCAGTATTGATCACAGTTCCATCACATCCTAATGCGAGAAGTTAGGACAGATCTGTGTTTGATCTAAGATAATTTTGGATTAAAAGTTACATGTGGACCCTGAAGATTATCAAATATTTAGAAATTCTTTTTGTATTATAGTAATAAACAACTTTTGGCGCCTAATGTGTAACCCAATCAAATAAAAAAATTTCGCTCCACTCTATTAGTTAAATTAAACAAATACTGCACTCTTTTATGCTTATTTAAGATCTAGGGGAACGATTAAGCAGTTTTATATGTTTTTTATATTTATAAATTATGTAATAGTAGTAAAATAGCAACGAACCTACGACACCTGATACCTTTCAAATTTGAACATTTCTAAGCACTTGCAATTTATACAATTTTGTTTCAAAATCTAAAATGGTATAAAATAGGGCAAATTTTCTTGTCCAATTTAGTTATATCATGCAAAGATTTATTCTAGAGTGCTCAATGTTTAAATATATATTTTATTTTAATTTTATAAAATATCTAATAAACTTTTGCCATTTTTAAGAAAATTTTATTTAAAAAAATAGGTAAAAATATTCGTAGCTTTACTTAAAAGGGATCGCATCCAGTAGTTGATAATAAAAAAAAGGACTCAAGGCTTATTGGTCTGTAAAAAAAATGAAGCTTTAGGGTATACGGTAACCTTTTTTTTTTAAGACGATTTTTTAACGAAACGTAAGCATATTTCAGTCCTTTTAAAATTATCAAAACAAGTCTTTTCTTCAAATACCTACTTTGAAAAAGATTATGAAATTTAATGAAATTTAAACGAAAATTTGTTTTTTTTATAATTTTTGCCTTTTACTGGTCAAAATACCCTAATTTCGTAGATTCGCTAAATTAACGGTTAACTTACTGTGATGTTTGTTTACTTTAAAACAACAGTTTATTAATTAATAATTTATTTAAACAATTATTTATTTTATAACATAACTGTTCTAATTTATATATACTTCAAATGTCTTTAAACTGATCACTATTTATATTCACCACTGTCTATCTACTAATTACTATTTATCTTCACTGTCCATATAATAACTAACTCTGATGGATCCTCCACCAATATTTATACAAATTTAAAAAATTGGCGAACGTTCTAGTAAGTTCACATATTCTCTCCAATACACTAGAAACATTATCTCGTTCTTTCTCGAACATCATCGAAAGCACATCCACCATAATCGTTTCATAGGTTTGGTCTTAAGGGATTTAATTATGTATAATAAGCGGACAAGTTGAGCCTCAAAGGCCAAATAATACAGAGAGGGACTTGGAGTATTAGAGCATGACTGAATAATAAAATGGCTCACATTACATTGCCTTAAAAAATTACAAATCACACTGATTATTGAACCACAGCAGTATATATAATTGAGAGTTGCACTTGTTATCACCACTGATGAATTAGCAAAAATAATGCTATGCTGTAATAAGACAGTCCTTTTATAATTGAAGATAATAAACAAGTCATTTCTTGTCCATTCTTAATTCAGACAAGTTATGCGGTACCCTACTTGCTGATTTATATGGTATATATGCGATGCGCGGTTATATTAGGTAATGAAATAATACCCGTGTTCCTTATTTAATAATTATTATTGAATAATTACTTTTTCGTAATTACTTATTTTCTTTACAACTATGTAGATGAAAAACAAGTATTTTAACTTTCTTGTAAAATCAGTGATCAAAAATGTTTTTACAAATGAAAGGCGAAATGCTAATATTATTAATAATAATAATATTTTGTCACATTCTGATAGTGAAAATGCCGCCCCTAAGATTTGCCACCCCGGACAGATGTCTGGGTTGTCTGGCCTTGGAGCGGGCCCTGTGGGTATGAATAGGAACGAATTGTCAAGACAGGTGCAAAGTTGCAATGACCTGAACATTTCTTGATTCTAGCCCTGATTTGTATTTGTTAATCGAGTTTAGTATTCGCATGGTTTTTGTTCTCTATCAAGTATTTTATTTTACTGTTTATTATTGTAATAAATAGTGCGTCTGTTGAATTTATTAAAAATATATTCCAACATAACCGAGTTCCGAGTTGAGTCCCAAACCCAGACAGATTGTCAATTACTAGTTGTCGACAAATTGTCAACACTAAGTCGACGACTGGTTTATGTATTGTTGTAAGATCGTTGTTGGAACAAACCTTAAATCATTTATAAAAACTAAAAAACTTTAGATCCTAGATTAGAATCATGATATACGCAGTACGAGGAATGATTTGATGTTCGATACGTGATCTTAATAGTAATATAAACAATGATAGGGATAGAAAATTTTTCATTAATTTATTGAAATTTTGATAATTTTAAAACTTAAAACTTTCGTTAGTAAACAATATTCTAAAAAAACTCCACTTGCCTCAAATGTTACGATTACTTACATCAGAATTTTTGGAAACATATCTGCTTTGGATATCTCTGTATATCTGGCTAATTAAATTGTCGCAATTAGTAAAACAATAAAAGTGTAGTGTAATATGTATATATAAATAAACACAACTATAGGAGCTGTTAGATATTTCACTTTATTATGAAATATTGTTTCTAAAATCGTCAGTCGGACTATTTAGGTTTTCAATACGATGATCGATAGGTGACCAGTGCTTGTATTTTGTTCTTAAAAAGTTTATTAGTTTTTGTGTTTTGGATTACATTGGATACCTGCATACTTTTGATTTTCGACGTAAGTTTTATAGATAAAATTTTTAATTTTTAATTTTTATTTAATATCTATTAATTAAATATTCAACAACATATTTAAAAAAAAAAAAAATAATAAAATTACTGGTTCTTGAGCACAACATTTTTGAACTACTACAATTTCGGTTATCGAGCCAGATAAAATTGGGTGGAAATTAAAAGAAATATTGGGCAAATAGAAACTAGCAAGCATAGAACATTTTATCGATAAGACTGGGAAATCAAAGAATTTAGGCGGGAATCGTGGTTGACTTATTTCCAAAATAATCTCATTGACGTTATCAATTTAACGTATATTATTTACTGTGCATCTTATACATTATTTTGTTTTATATCAGCAGCAATCTACGCCAATACCTAACGAGTATAAAGTCATTTATCTTGATTAAAAAATCTAACAGAAAGAAAAATCGCAATTTTTTTCGTGATGAAGGAACACAAGTGTGTATTAGGGTTTGTAGCTGCTCTGATTTATTTTAAAAATGTCTACCACATCTTAGTTCTTTAACTTTTACCATTTTCAAATTAATTTATAAATATAAATAAATACAATTAAATTCTTGCCTTAGAGTAACCCGCCTTAATTTGATATTATCTTTAATGAGGTAGAACTTGCATCACAACATAACTAGCACTACACAGATCACGAGTAGGATTGCCAACTCTCCCGGAATTCCGGGATTCTCCAGGAAAAAGACATTTAATTTTTAAAATCTCCCGGCTCCAGAAATGTACCCAAAATCTCCCGGATCTTTGAACTGTGAATAATAAAATTGGGTAGGTTGAATTAAAAGCGTTCTTCTCTCAACATGCCTATAAATGCATGAGGATAAACTGTATGATTATTAAACTGTGTGAATTATTTCTAAACTTACTATGCTTTTACATCATATTCCTCTAACTTACCAAACTACAGTATGATTAAACTCTGTATAAATAACGAATTAATAGAAATTAAAAATACTAATTACATAAAATATTTGGGAGTCATGGTCGACTAACATTTAAAATGGGATAATCAATGCCAGTATGTTACAAAAAAACTTAGAAGCCTATTGTATAAATGTAGGAAATTTTGTGATAGTTTGGATGATTCACAGTTGAGAGGTCTGTTATACTCGTTAATGTAATTCTTATGGCCTCATAGCATGGGGAAGTGCATTAGAGACTCATTTGCATGACGTAGAAAAACTTTTAATAAAAATTATTTTTAGAAAACCATTCCCGAAATCCAACTGTCGCCATCTTGACATTTATTGCATAATTATTCTGATAACCATCACTCAATACCGTCCCCAACTTCTCAACCACCCCAACATTCTTTCAGTATGTCAGCTCTATCAACAAATCACTATCAAGTACTATTGGCTACAGCAATGGTAAGTCTTTACTCCAAATCTGGTACACCTATTTTAGCCAGAGTACTTCTACACAATGGCAGTCAGACATCATTTATCACAGAAAAACTCTTATCAAGAATTCATTCAAAAACTTACATTTCAAAACTACAATTTCTGGCATATCTCAAGACTCATTTATGTCAAACAAAATGCTGATATCACTATGTATTCAAGATCAGTTAACAACACTTCTTTTGATTTAACTTGTGCAGTGTTGCCAAACATCACCTGCAAATTACCTCAAACTTTAATTTCCAAAAATGTATGTAATATTCCTGAATATATTACTCTAGCGGATCCCAGATTTTTTGAACCCTCTGAAATTGATATTCTTATTGGAGCTGACACTTACTATGCTTTAATTTCTCATGGAATAATAAAATTAGGCACAAATCTCCCCATTTTGCACAATACTCTCCTAGGTTGGGTTATAGCAGGAAGTATCCCTTATGCTTCGCTCTCTCAAAGAAAGTCTTCTTTTTTACCCACACATCGTAAGTTGATGAGCATAATCTTGATGCAATTATCACAAAATTTTGGGAATTAGAGGAGATTCCCAACGTAAAACCGTTATTACCTGAAGATGAATTAGCTGAACAAAATTTCAAGAAAAATTTAAAAATTTTAGAAAATGGTTATTTTCAAGGTAATTTACCTTTACTATCCCCTTCTGCAAACGTCAATTTGGGTGAGTCTTTTTATATAGCACACAAACGTTTTCTAACCTGGAACAAAGATTTATGAAGAACCCCGCTTTATTTTCTGAGTACCAAAAATTTATACGCGTATATGTTACTCTACAACATGCAAAAGTTGTACCCCTAACTCTGAAGCACTCTCCCGCTGAAAATAAATACTTTTTACCCCACCATTGTGTTTTGAAGGAAACTAGTGGCATACCCAAAATTCGCGTCGTTTTTGATGGGTCTTGTAAATCCTCCTCTGGTTTATCTTTAAATGATATCTCTTTAAAGGGGTTTTCAAGTGCAACCCGACCTCTTTGACATCCTTTGTCGTTTTAGGAAATTCAAATATATTTTCACGTTGACATTGACATTGAGAAAATGTACCGGCAAATAAAAATTAACCCTACCCAAACCTTTTTGCAAAACATTCTTTGGAGAGATAATCCCTATGTCGATTACATTCTCTATGGCTGTGATAATTTAGATGATTTGGAATGTGCCTATCGTCAGTTAACTGAAATATTAAATTACTCAGGTTTTCACCTACATAAATGGTGCTCAAATTCTCAAGAATTTTTACAAAAATTTTGTGAAAGTCAACGATCTACCACATATGACTTTCAAATCGAAAATACCTCAAGCAAGGTTCTAGGATTGTTTTGGCAACCCTCTAGCGATTTATTTTCTATCTCTCTCCCTCACCTACTATCAGCAGAAAGTATTACAAAACGACAAGCCCAGTCTACGTTAGCTCAAATGTTTGACCCTATTGGTCTCATAGGTCCCGTATTTTTGTTAGGAAAAGTATTCATCCAGAACTTATGGAAACTCAAAATAAATTGGGATGGCCTACTCTCTCAACCTCTGCTAGACGAATGGAAAAAATTAACTTCAAATATTCCCAAATTGCAACACTTAAAAATCCTACGTTGTCTTTTTCTTAAAAAGACTATTGTTAATATTGAGCTTCATGGATTTGCAGACAGCAGTATTTATTTTCGCACTCACTACTCTGACAATTCAATCTCATGTAACCTCGTTACCTCTAAGTCCAGAGTAGCCCCTCTGAAAACTATCTCTCTTTCTAGGTTCGAATTGTCTGGAATGTTACTACTACTACTAGCTCAACTTACTCGTAAAATAGTAACAATTTTTTAAAATAAAATAATATTCTCATCTATCAATCTATGGACAGACTTTCAAATAGCATTATGCTGGATAAATGCACCTCCCTCACGTTGGTCAACCTTTGTATCCAACCGTGTCTCACAAAGTCGTCTTAAAGACGTCTTTAAGACGTCTAGCATAAGACATTAGAGACGTCTTTAAGACGTCTGGTATTTCCTGAAAGACGTCTTTAAGACGTCTTAGAAGACGTCTGGTGTTACAAAAGGGGACGTCTTTAAGACATACTAATGGCTTATATTGGTCTGTAGAACGTAGAACGTCGGATATCTTGGTTATTAAAAAGTAGAACAACCTTGCAGATTATAAATAATGCAAAAAATAGAATTAAAATATTTATTGATAAAATATCTATTAATCACAGGTCACTAAGAGTTATTTCTTTTTAGCGCATTCGATCACTCCTCTTTAGCCATAACTGGATTGATTTTTCTCTTTGATTTGTAGTTGCCTTCGTATAGCTCCTAAAAAGAACTTTAGTTATATAAGAGCATCTAGTCACAGAAAATTATACTTTGCAAAAGTTAGTAAAAACCAAAAGAACGGTTATCTATAAAATAAAACAAAAAATTAATTTCTTAGAATTTTAAATCAAAGAATTTTTATATTCATTTAATGCAATATGAGATATTATACTTAATCGGCTACTTTAACAATTTTACTTTAACTTCACTCAAAATGGGGAGTTCATATTATTAGTTCTCAAAATCTCCATAAAAACAAAAAAAAAATGATAATCGACGAATATCTGAATTAAATCTTATATTAAGATGTTTATTTTTAAATTAATTTAATTATTCTTAGAAGAAACAGGATATTAATGTTCTATGTATATAAACAAATATTCATTTATTACCTGTATTCCAGGAACGTGCTACATCGGTATCACAAACTATTCTTCCCTCTCTGGTTTTTGTTCCATATTATTTAAGTAGTCGCTTTTGGTGGCTATAATCGTGTACGCAATAAAATAATCAATAACCCACAATCAATAACATACAAATTTTTGGCTTCACTTGACTGCACTTGACTGCACTTCTTCTTTTCTTCGTTTTAATTGGGTCAATCTTTTCCACTGCACTTGATATTTGATTTCAATATTCTTCTCCAAATATTACACTGAATATTTTGTTTAATTTTGCATACTTTTTAAAGTCGGATGGTCACTTTTATACTAGATATTTTGTGATTTTTATGGGACTTCTTGGCTCCCGATTCGGAGACCGCCATTTTAGTATTGCCACGACGGTGTCTGAATCGGAAGTCCGGCTTGAATGTAATGTTAAGTCAAACTTCACTTCACTTGATTCTTCTTGTTAAATTTGAATTATGTAATCCGTGCCAGTTTCCGTCCGACTGAAAGACGTTTGTAAGACGTCTTAAAGACGTCTTTGAGCTTTCATATTAATATATGGATTTGGCAAGACGTCTTTAAGACGTCTTAAGAACGTCTTTGAGCTCCCACATTAATACGTTTGAATTATGGCTTTTGCAAGACGTCTTATAAGACGTCTTAATAACGTCCTTGGACATTGAGACCAAACCAAGACACAAAAAAGACGTCTTTCAGACGTCGTGTGCTATTTGGGTAATCAGTGGCGTCACGTGAAATCACGTGACAACCCAGTTGACCCTCTCTCTAGAGGCATGTTACCTCAAGACATTTTAATTTCAAATCTGTGGTGGCACGGGCCTCAATTTCTAACCAACCC